AAATTACATTTAATTAAAAAATATGAAATAGTATAATAATTGTTAAAAGTTATATCATTGTAATTTTAACTCTCCTTTATCTATTTATATCTATCTATCTATATATATATATATATAATCTATATATATATATAAAAGAAGAGATGAAAGATAAAAAAAAAAAATCTATGACTAATAATGTGTAAAAAAATTATAAAAAAAATATGAATGCTAATAAAGTTTTTCACTTATTTAAATGTTTAAAAATAATCACTATTTTTTTGTTGTCTACATTTTTTAAATATAAATCATTATTGATGTAAAAATGAGCTGAAAACATCTAAACATGCATTAACAGTAAAATATTTTGTTCAAGCTCATACCTATAACTACAATGGGAGATTCCAGTTCCAACATCATATATACAGAAAAGGTGGATCATTCTGTTGCTTAAAAAAGTTCTTTTACGTATAAAAATATATAATATACATGTTTTTTTCTTTAATTGTAGAGAAATGCTTTTACAAAGTACGTATATAAAAAGATAATATATATATATATAATGATTATTTAATATTTTTAATAATAAATTATTTTGATTCGTGTTTTTGGAAACAAAAGGTGGCCCAGTTTAGTTGGCGTGCAGGAGTTATCCTACGTACATAAAAGAAGAAAAACATGAGGTACCGTTTGGTCCCGATGAAATAGATGGGAAGTGAAGAGGAGGAGTTGAAAATAAATGCTGTTTGAAATAGGGAGATGAGTGAGTTTTTCATATGTATTTTGTTTCTTTGCTCCAAACTATCGAAGTAGAAAAGAATCACTTCCAAAACTGCCCTAATCGTTTGTCTTGTGACTTACTTGAAGAAACTCTTGCTTGAAGGTATGAAGGTCTGAGCTCCTCGTCTACCAAACGGAGTCTTAGTGTTCTAGTTGACTCCCACATCAATTATGACGACAATTTTTTTTTTCTTTCTATAATAGTTGTTATTCTATTTGAATTTATTTAAAATATTTGTCACAATATTTGAGCTCATCATTTTAACTTAAAATTTAAAGTAACTTTTAAGTTTAAAATATATTCATCCAAACATAAACTTAAACTTGTGGTGTATTTGGTAGGTAAGATCGAGAAAAATATAACAATTTACTAATTCTACTAGGGTCAAGATTGTTTTACATTTGTTTGAATTTTAAAATTAGAGTTGGAATACTTTTTTTTTTAGAGATGACAAAATGATCAAGCTATTGGCTTGCAAAAATGAATTGGGTTGAACTAGTTGGATAGCAAAAATGGGTCTCAAATTTTAGTTCATTTCGTCGTTGGTATGTAAAAAAACAAAAAATAAATAGAAAAAAAAATTGTATATTTATTTTAAATTACTCTTTCAACACTTTTTTTATATCTAAAGGACCAATATAAATCAATATATTTAAATAATAAAAAAATATCAAATTACATATAATAAAATAAATCAAATGTACAACAAACTTGTTGTACAATAAATTATAGATTATATATAAAATAAATATGAAATAACTTAATTAAATTTACATTAAAAATAATAAATAAACAAAAAAAGTTAGAAAAAACGATTGACGAACCAACTCGCCATTTGGTTCGGCAAGCTAGGTGAGACGGGTTAGACAAATTGACAAGATAAAAGACTTAGTTTAACTTGCCAATTTTTGGGAGGTCAATGAACCGTGACCCATTTTGCCACTTAATTTAGTGTTTTACTTTTATTCTTTTAAAAAGTATGATTTTTTTTAAAGTTGTATGTTAATAAATATTTTTTATCTAATAGATGATATTTTTTTTAATATATCATTATATTTATAATAATACTATTTATTTTAAAGTATATGTTGTAAAATATATCTTAATTTATGTTCGGTACTTACTTTATTTTTTAGGATTTAGTTATATATATTGTTAATATTGATTTATTATTTTAGACTATATCAAAGTCTTGTATGATTTGTCATAATTATGTTAAAATATCGAATTGATCTAATCTCATCCCATATATTTCTAGTTTTGATTGTATTTTATTTGAGATCAAATAAATGACTTGATCACAAAGTTAGGTAAGTACAAAGATATATTCATCCAAACTTTCAATTACCCCTAATATTTGGTACACAAAACAATATTTTGTGTATGAATATACCAAGGGCAAGATCAAACAACAACAAAAATTGCACACACACATATATAACAAAAAAAAATGAATTTGCACATTACTTACCAAAAATTTGAAGAAATTTTACCTGGACTTTGTCTCTCTTCCAATCCTTATGAGCAATAACTACCCTGTATAAAATAAACATGCCAACGAACGGGTGATTCTTCTTCAACTATAAATCGAATATGAAAAGGGAGAACTTACTGAAGAATCGGTGACTAAAGCGCTTTTCTGGTAACAAAGAGCAAATCTTTTATAATATGTTATCAATTGGAGTTGCTACATGTGACAAAGGACTTTATTAAAAAGAGGCTAGAGAAAAATTCTAGATTTTCTCGAACTTGTTTTGAGTCAAATCAAAGAATGAGAAAATCTTGTGAATAATTGACGATTTGTGGGGTGAAAAGAAATTGAAGAGGGTGAGGCGCTTGACAGGGAAAAAGGCAACAAGCTCTTGATTTTAATGATTCGATGAAGATCAATGTCAATGGGAGTGATGACTCAATAACATAGCAAAAAGGGAAATGATTTGTTGATTGATAGGGAGAGAAGAAATAAGGGAAAGATTGAACGGGTGAAGGAGGGAGATCTCTCACCTGACCCCCCCCCCCCCCCCCTTGCCCCCGCCCCCGCCCCTGTTAGAGGATTAGGGTTTTCTAGATGGAAGTAAGGGTGAAAGAGAGATTTAAATAGGGAAGTGAGGTGAGAGAGTGATGGAGTGGAAGAGATGTTTATTTTTTTTATTTTTTTGTTTTTACCTTTCAAACTTAACTATATTTTTTTAAAAATTATCATATTTAAACAATTATCATATATTTTGTATTACTAGGATGGAAAAATGAGTTAATTTGACTCGTCATCAACTCGTCAAAAATGGATTGGGTTGACTTGTCAATTAAAAACGAGTTAGACATCTTGACTCACTATATTTAAGGGTAGGTTGGCAAGTCAACCTATAAAATATAATATAAAATAAAAAAGAAATTTTTTTTGTTTTATAAAATTAATTTAAATAGATAAATATAGTTAAAAAAATGTAAAAATATATG